TGTGTGTGTGTGTGTGTGTGTGTGTGTGTGTGTGTGTGTGTGTGTGTCAGGTACAAGGAGCTGACGGAGCAGCAGCTGCCCGGCGCGCTGCCTCCTGAATGCACGCCGAACATCGACGGTCCGAACGCTCGCTCCGTGCAGCGCGAGCAGAGCCTGCACTCCTTCCACACTCTGTTCTGCAGACGCTGCTTCAAATACGACTGCTTCCTCCACCGTTAGTACACACACAGACATTATAGAGTTATTAATTTAAAATAACTAAGGATGCACTGATCCGATTATGTGCCGGATACTTCGTTATTCTGAGAAAACAGGATAATTAATCCTTTATTTTTTTTTTATTTGGTATTTAATGTGACGGGAATCCTAATGTATAAAATGTGTGGAATATGTGTTTTTAATGGGCAGCTTGTCTGTTAAATGTTTAGTTGGTAAAGTTCAGGGCAAAAACTAAAGCTCGTCTGATGATTTTATGTCCTTTAGCTTTCCATGCAACTCCAAACACGTATAAGCGAAAGAACCTGGAGAACCTGGTGGACAGTAAACCCTGCGGCATCGTCTGCTACATGTACCTGGTACAGGTGAGGCAGACATTCATTAAATATCACAGAAATGCTGTTTGTTTCTTTTAGAGTTCTCCTCACTCTGTTTCTGTCTTCACTGGTCTATTAGACAAAAAACGAGGGGGAAAAACGCCATTTTCGTATATTTATCTGAAGTATTACATGATGATAGTATTACTTTGACCTGCTACATCACTGTTCTCAGGGTGGGATGGTGAGCGAGTACCCAGCGGACTTGGTTGCAGAGCAAGCAAAGACGCCCTCCAAGCGCACGGTGGGGAGACGCCGCGGACGACTGCCCAACAGCCGGCCCGGCACCCCGTCCATGTCCTCGGAGACCAAAGACACGGACAGCGACCGCGAGGGCAGCAAAGAAGACGAGCTGGTCAACGGCAAAGACGACGAGCTGGTCAACGGCAAAGACGACGACAAAGATGACGAGCGGGACGACGACAAAGACGTCGAGCTGGTCAACGGCAAAGACGACGAGCTGGTCAACGGCAAAGACGACGAGCGGGACGACGAGCGGGACGACGGCAAAGACGACGAGCGGGACGACGGCAAAGACGACGAGCGGGACGACGGCAAAGACGACGAGCGGGACGACGAGGACAAGAAGGACGATAACACCAGCAGCTCAGGTACAAACTCACTCTCGAGTAGTAAAGGTTAAGGGTCCTCTTTGGCAAGAAGAACTCAAAGTGCTTGTGTTCTGTGTGCACAGAGGGAAACTCTCGGTGTCAGACTCCAGTGAAGATGAAGCTGATCGGCGAGGCTGAAGCGGTGGAGTGGAGCGGGGCCGAGGCTTCACTCTTCAGGGTTCTCATCGGGACGTACTACGACAACTTCTGCGCCATTGCGCGGCTCATCGGCACGAAGACCTGCAGACAGGTGAGGCGTCGGAGACGTCTAGCTTATTGTTTAGTTCACAATATAATTGTTCACAAGTTGGTCTAAACACGGGGGAAAGGAATGATAATATTCATGATGCACAAACTTATTTGTAGAAGTTTTAAAGCTCTCACCTGCCAAACGGACTCTAACTTCTTTAGAAGATTCGATTTTTCCTAAAATTAAAAACTGCGCTTGTGGCCAAACATGGAGTTTAGAACGTTGTCTCGGCCGGTCCTGCAGGTTTACGAGTTCAGGGTCAAGGAGTCGAGCATCATCGCTCGGGCTCCCGCCGAAGACGAGGACACGCCGCCCAGAAAGAAGAAGAGGAAACACCGACTGTGGGCCACTCACTGCAGGAAGATCCAGCTGAAGAAAGGTCAGAGGTCCCGTCAACGCTAGCGTTTATTTATGCCATGGTAGAAGAACTGTGAGGCTTTAATCCTCGTTTCATGTCGGACAGAGAACGGTTGAAATAGTTGAGATGTTTGACTCCAGATGTCGGCATCCTCACGGCTGAGAAACCTGGAAAAACTCAAAAGTTGACCGTGCCCACGGGAATAAGACGGGCGGATGAATGAGTCGATTAAAGCCGGAGGAAACTCTTCTGGTGAAACCTCCGGTTTAACCTCTGCACCTCTTTACAGATGGCTCGTCCAATCACGTGTACAACTACCAGCCATGTGACCACCCGCGGCAGCCCTGTGACTCCTCGTGTCCCTGCGTCACGGCGCAGAACTTCTGCGAGAAGTTTTGCCAGTGCAGCTCCGAGTGTAAGAACAGACACACACACACACCCAGAGCTTTATATTCCTGCAGTGACTCAAGTTAACGTTGCTCTTCTTCCACAGGTCAGAACCGGTTCCCAGGGTGTCGGTGCAAAGCTCAGTGCAACACCAAGCAGTGTCCTTGCTACCTGGCGGTGCGGGAGTGTGACCCAGACCTCTGCCTGACATGCGGCGCCGGAGACAACTGGGACAGCAAGAACGTGTCCTGCAAGAACTGCTCCATCCAGAGAGGCGCCAAGAAGGTTTTTGCACGTTCTTTTCACCGGTAGTGTTTTTAATTTTAACTCACCTGAAGCTCAAACACCTCCTGATGTTCCTCTCTGTCTCTCAGCACCTCCTGCTGGCCCCGTCAGACGTGGCCGGTTGGGGAATCTTCATCAAAGAGCCGGTCCAGAAAAACGAGTTCATCTCCGAGTACTGTGGCGAGGTAGGACCTGTCTGTCTGTCTCTGTCTCGCTCTCTGTCTGTCTCTGTCTGTCTCTGTCTGTCTTTATTTTTCTCTAAACAATGACTCATCTTTCCAGCTGCATTTCTGCGCACATTTTTGAGAATGAGATGGAAAAAAGCCCCAAATATATTCTATTAATGGTAAAACCCGTCAGTAGTTTATTGCATTAAATAAACTCCACAGTGTGATGCAGAGAAAGTTTAAAATAGAGGTAATAGAAGCTCAGAATGTCTCACGATTCCTCTTCAACTGAAGAAGTGTTAAATGTGTTGAATGTGTTCGACCTCCTCCGTGTTTGCAGATCATCTCTCAGGATGAAGCCGACCGCAGAGGGAAAGTCTACGACAAATACATGTGCAGCTTCCTCTTCAACCTCAACAACGGTATGACACACACACATGCAGCTTTCTTTGTACGAAAGCTTTAACATTCTGACTGTGTGTGTGTGTGTGTGTGTGTGTGTGTGTGTGTGTGTGTGTGTGTGTGTGTGTGTGTGTGTGTGTGTGTGTGTGCGCGCGCGCGCTTCTTCTCTCTACAGACTTTGTCGTTGACGCCACGAGGAAAGGCAACAAGATCCGCTTTGCCAACCACTCCGTCAACCCCAACTGCTATGCAAAAGGTGAGCGGGCGAGCCGCGGCACGACGAACGTTAACGGCAGTCGCGGTTGAGCTTTTTGCTGACTCGTCTGTTCTCTTTAGTGATGATGGTGAACGGGGATCACAGGATCGGAATCTTTGCTAAGAGAGCCATCCAGACCGGAGAGGAGCTCTTCTTCGACTACAGGTCGGTGACCCACTTCCGTTTCCAAAAAGGTTAACGGGAGAACAAGTAGTTACGTTGCTCTCCTTTGTTTCAGAGTCCAGCGGCTGTGAAAAGGTTAAAATATATGAAAAAAAGAAAATATTAGTGGAGGTAACAATAAATATAAGATGAATACAAATCTATCTAATAGTTATTCTAGTTATCGATTAAACAAAACCCCAAAATCTTTTTAAAAAATAGCAACTTCCTGTTCTTTTCCGCTTGAAAAACGACTAAAACGATAAATCGATTAACACGTTTGTTGATAATTAATTTCCTTTTGACAGAGTAATCAAGTTTTGTCCTCGGCTTCGTTCATACTCACTGTGTGTGTGTGTGTGTGTGTGTGCGTGTGCGTGTGTGCGTGTGCGTGTGTGTGTGCGCGCGTGTGTGTGTGTGCTGCAGGTACAGCCAGGCCGACGCTCTGAAGTACGTGGGCATCGAGCGAGAGCTGGAGATCGCCTGACTCTGACTTCTACCTCCTGTGGATCGACAACAACAAAGGCCTTACACTCACACACAAAACAAACACACCGTCACTTCAGGAAATCCAGACGACGTCGTCAAACCGCTAGAAAGCTTCAGGAAAACTGGGAATATTTGAAGCGGAAACTTTTGATGCTGTGTTTAAAAAAAAAAACATACTTTTCATATCTGATTTTCTTCTCCTGTGAACAAACATTCTTCTTCTTCTAGTCGAGGGTTCTTAGATCTCCTACAAACTGACTCCTCCCCCCTCCGCCATGTTGTGTTTTTATACACGGTGTGAACTGAACCAAGCACGAGTGCCACATCGCCGTCTGTCTGTGGAGCAGCAGGTCGATCACAAAGCAGCGTCGCAGCAGATCCAGATGTTTTACAGCGTTCAGGTTATTGAGGAAGTTCATCGGCAACAATCATGTTCGCTCAACATCATCGCACTGGTTCCAGAGGTTTATATTTAAACTGAATATTCTTTGGTTTTGGACTGTTCATTCAAAATATTACATTTAAAAAAACTCATTTTATAGACTGAAATATTTATTTATTTACAGAGAACATCTGCAGATTAAGATTCAGTTACTGAACATGTGTTTCAAACTTTGCCTTGAGATGAGGCCTGAAACTAATTATTTATTTTGTTATTCTGTTCAGTTTACAGTGATTTAAAATGGAGAAGTCAGAAGAACCAGATTTTTTTTGTTTGATAATTTATACATTTTTTACAGTAATTTATCAGATCTTTATATCTCAAAAAAGAAGATTTTGTTCCTCGATCAAAGTCGTTTCAGAAAACAAATTTCAGTCTCTGAAACTTTAAAGTTTTTGTTCAGTGATGACAGGAAGTCGTCATCATCCTTTCACTGTAAAAGCACCAGCAAACATGTCAGCAGGTCTCAGAGAGCTCGATGTTTAACTTCTGATGAACTCCTTTGTTTCCTGGAGACGACTCTGCTTTGTGACTCCGCCGACGCTGCTTCAGGTGCTAATGAGAAAAAACGAAACCAGCACTACTTCACCACTTTCACCAAACTCAACCAAAACCACACATGAAGGTTTCATTCATGTCCTGCTGTCTCCCCCGCTGTCTCCCCCCCGTCTGTTACAAGTTTTCCCAGCAGCGCTGCGCTCTACTCGTACCGAGTCTCTCGGATATTATTTGCTTATTTTAAGGTCAGAGAGCTGAAGTTTATTTAATCATGTAAAAAAAAAAAAAAAAAGCAGCAAATCTTCGGAGAATTGCGTCATTCGAATTGTTTCAGCTCTGAATTCTTGGAAGAATTGCGGAAGAATTTAAACTTTCAAATCTCACATGTGAGGAGGTGAGTTAAACGTCTCTGTGGATCCTTTAACTGAGAACGTTTACAAAGTCAAGAATGTTTTCCTCTCAGATGATTCAATATTTCAAGACCTCACGGTGTGTAATTACACATCCAGAGCATTTAATCTGTTTCAGTCAATCATTGTCAATTACTTTGTCTTTTCTGCTGCACACTTAAGTTCCTCTAAAATAACTCGTAGTAATTGATTCATTAACTAATTAACTGATGAGAGTACGAGTGGAGCGCAGTGAGACAGTGACGGGGAAAAAACCTAAATGTTAAATAGTCCTGATGTGATTGTAGATGTCTGAACCTCACTTTCTCTCTCTCTGCTGTCTGTCTCTCTCTGTCTGTCTCTCTCTCTCTGCTCTCTCTCTCTTTGCTGTCTGTCTGTCTCTCTGTCTGTCTCTCTCTCTGCTGTCTCTCTCTCTCTTTGCTGTCTGTCTGTCTCTCTGTCTGTCTCTCTCTCTTTGCTGTCTCTCTCTTTGCTGTCTCTCTCTTTGCTGTCTCTCTCTTTGCTGTCTCTCTCTCTGCTGTCTCTCTCTGTCTCTGCTGTGCCTTGAGTCCTGAACTCAACAGTCTGATTTTTAAACTTTCTTCCTCTGTCCTCACTTTCTCCTCCTCGTGATGTCCGATCAGTATAAATAGAATCTGAACCGTTCTCTTTCCTCTTGTTGAATAAGCCTTTTTATTAATAACGTACCAACAATCACACTTTTGACTCTCTCTCGTTTTCTCTGATGTGAATTCTGGTGCTCAGAAGAAGTATTTCTGTCCGACGTGAAGCAATACAGCCTCCTCTTCTTCGTCGTCCTCTTCTTCTTTGACTCTTACACCTGTGATTTAATACAAACTTCACAGAGACGTGGACGTCTCATGGTGCTGTGATGTCTGTAGTTTTTCAGATGAAAGACTGTGAAACCTGGTGCTTCTCTCTCTCGGGGGGTTTCCTACACAAAGTACTGAGGGTTTTTTTTGGAAAATCAAGTCAGGAGAAACTGGATTTAGTGACATTTATGTGCATGAAAAAATGGTCAACGATTTTCTGACCACAATCTGGTGAAATGTGTAGGAACCCTTTTGTTTTTTTATATAGCCTTCACCATGTCCTCAGTGTTGATGCATTTATTTGGGGTGTGATTTGCATTTAAAAGATTATGGAACCGGTGATTCATCCCAAAAAACAAACAACCTCCACAGCAGCTGGTTTCTAAATGTCGCTCAGTGAAATCGGCTCCGGTGGAGTTGAGATTTAACTAAAACCAGCAACTTTAAAAGGTTTGTTAGTGTCTGTAAATGCGAGGGCTGGGTAACGAAACACACCTCTGAAGTATTCACGTCTTTAAACAATTAATGTGGGGGGGAGCGTAAATGTCAGAAATGGACGTTGATTCGAGTGATGAAGCCGTTGTTACGCGGCGCTTGTTGAAATCTAAACTGCAGGTTATGAATCTTTTCACTCTTCTTCTTGTGAAACAAGGACCACTCGTTCTCCGATGACACAGGTGCTGATTTTTGTAATGTTTACAGGGATTTTGTTCAACGTGATGCAGATTAAAATATTATAAACGGACGATTTCTTCTTTGTTTTGATTCGTATACAAACATCTGGTTTGAAACTGAGTAAGTAGTAACTGCTTTAGGGAGTTTTTGGGGAGTAGCATTTAAACTTTCTTTTAAGATTGTTCAGCTTTTATTGGTTAATGTGCAGTTTTCTATTTAAACAGGGTGTTCGGAGGTTTCTTTACAAGTATCAAAAGTTAATGAATTTAGCGTAATTATAACTTAATCATAGTTAATGACAATTTCACACATGTCAAAGGATAAACTAATGAAGTGATGACATTTTGAAATTCAATATTTTTATGACATGACGTTTGTCGAAAGTATATATATAGTATATAGCGCGTCGAAGTTTAAAAAAGTCATATAGCGTGTCAAAGTTTAAAAAGTCATAGCGTGTCAAAGTTTAAAAAAGTCATATAGCATGTCAGTTTAAAAAGTCATAGTATAGCATGTCAAAGTTTAAAAAAGTCATAGTATAGCGTGTCAAAGTTTAAAAAAGTCATATAGCATGTCAAAGTTTAAAAAAGTTATAGCGTGTCAAAGTTTAAAAAAGTCATAGCGTGTCAAAGTTTAAAAAAGTCATATAGCGTGTCAAAGTTTAAAAAAGTCATATAGCGTGTCAGTTTAAAAAAGTCATATAGCGTGTCAAAGTTTAAAAAAGTCATAGCGTGTCAAAGTTTAAAAAGTCATAGGGTGTCAAAGTTTAAAAAGTCATAGTATAGCGTGTCAAAGTTTAAAAAGTCATAGTATAGCGTGTCAGTTTAAAAAAGTCATAGCATGTCAAAGTTTAAAAAAGTCATAGCGTGTCAAAGTTTAAAAAGTCATAGCGTGTCGAAAAGTTTAGAAAGTCATAGTATAGCGTGTCAAAGTTTAAAAAAGTCATAGCATGTCAAAGTTTAAAAAAGTCATAATAGCGTGTCAAAGTTTAAAAAAGTCAGTATAGCGTGTCGAAAAGTTTAAAAAAGTCATAGTATAGCGTGTCGAAGTTTAAAAAGTCATATAGCGTGTAGAAAAGTTTAAAAAAGTCATAGTATAGCGTGTCGAAGTTTAAAAAGTCATATAGCGTGTCGAAAAGTTTAAAAAGTCACAGTATAGTGTGTAGAAAAGTTTAAAAAAGTCATAGTATAGTGTGTAGAAAAGTTAAAAAAAGTCATAGTATAGTGTGTCGAAGTTTAAAAGTCATATAGCGTGTCGAAAAGTTTAAAAAGTCACAGTATAGTGTGTAGAAAAGTTTAAAAAAGTCAGTATAGCGTGTCGAAAAGTTTAAAAAAGTCATAGTATAGTGTGTCGAAGTTTAAAAAAGTCATAGTATAGCGTGTCAAAGTTTAAAAAAAAGTCATAAGATAGCTTAGTGTTTCATAGTATATTTAAAAACAATGTAAAGCCATATTGGACTATGATAGACTAAAGTATATTGTGAGAATTGTCTGAAGAAGTCACAGCATATTGTCATAACACATCTCAGTATTTGTCCTGGCAAACAGCTCATAATATAAAGGAAACGGTAGTTTTAGCTCGTAGAACAAGAGTCGCTGGTGCACCGCTGCCTCGACTTCACTAATCTAATTCAATGTAAGGAGTCTGGTATCTTTAAAGAGCATAAATATTACTTTCCCATATTTTAACACATTGAAGAGAATCATAAAGACTAAAATGTTAATATTTTCTTTCATTTACTCCTGACAGCAAATGTTTTGATGGCAAATATTAAATCTTTTGAGTTCAGAACAAAAGAAACATATTTGCGTACGCCATCTTAGACTTTGGGAAACACAGAAAACATTTTGTAACATCCTGACTTCATGGACCTAAGAGGCCGTGGTTAACGTGGACGTGAGGGTGAGATGAGGGTGAAGGTGTGAACAGAGTCTCGGGAGAAGAAGGCATTTAGAGAAATCTTTCCTTGTTTTTATTTATCACATTTAGAAAATGAACCACACTATACAAATGTCCACCGTTGGGTAATGAAACAGGCCTCCTGCATGAACCCCACCGACCTCAAACCAAAACTGAGACAACTTCAGCAGATAAAGAAGCAGCATGGCGGCCGTGAACTCACCACCTCTTCTTCCTCCGTCGCAGACTTTTAAATTACAGGAACCGGTTTCGTGTCGTCGTACGGTGGACTGCGTCGGCTGCCCAGTGACTCGACTTTTATATAGACTTTTTTAATCTTTTTTTGGTGGTCACGGTGGTGCAGGTAGGCAGTAGCATGCAGAAACCTTTGGATGCGGCTCTCCTCCGATTGGCTGAAGGCTAATTCATTACGTTTGCGCTATGTAAAGAAGGGAGTAGGGGGCTTTTTTTTTTTCTCTTAGAGTCTGTGGTTGTTATTTACAATATGACAAGGAAGTGTGTGTGTGTAGGTGTGTGTGTGTGTGTGTTTGAGTCCTACGGATGGGGGCGGGACAGGCGAGCGTGTAGACGGGGTCTCCCGGTCTCGACAGGAGGGGGTGTCGCTTCTTCGCTGAAGGGAGAGCAGAAAGTTCACTCCCTCCTGTTGGTTGTCATATCGGGGCGGTCACATGATCGGCGACACACTCACAACATGGCCGCCGCTCAGAGGGATCCTCACTTTATTACTCAGACATAAAATTTAAAAAAAAAAAAGAATGAAGATAACAAATAAAACTGAGGAGAGCCGGCGGGCGGGGGGGAGGTCGGCGTTCAGGCCAGGTAGCTGTACGTGTCCTTCTCACCGTCCACTCGCTCCAGGTACTCCTTCTCTATCAGGATGTCGATGCATTTCTGTCCACAAGGGGGAGACAACACACACAACACATGAGAACAAGAACAACTTCAAGATCAACAAACACAAAGCTTCTCTTTCTGTCAACAATATGAAAGATCAGAAGATGAAGAAGAGAGAAATACTAGTTCCCCCTTTGATGATCTGTGCTGGTAGAGATGTGATTAGTAGTTTACTGTAAACAGCTCATAATTCATCTCCAACATGTTTAAACAGCTGGATTTATTACATCGACTCTGACGCGTTACCTTGATGACGGGGACTCTGGGTTTGAATCGGGACGACAGCTGGTTCAGAACTTCAGCCAGAAGCTGCTGGTGCTTCAGGACCTTCCTCATCTTCATGATCCTCACGATGGCAGCCTGCGCGCACGCGCACACACACACACACACACACACACATACACATACACGCAGTCAGTAACAACACAACATACATTCTACTTTATTGTGAATATATATTTCCATGTAAGGAACACTGACTTTTGGGCTTTTTTGTCGAGTGAATGTTTACGATTATCTCGCTCAATAAAAAAAGATTTCTGTAAAAACTGAGCCAGATGTTTTTTTTGGAGTCGCTTAAAAGATTTAACTCTGTGAAAGTAGAAGATAATATTAATACATAGTATTTCATAATATTAATACATAGTATTTCATAATATTAATACATAGTATTTCATAATATTTATTCATAGTATTTCATAATATTAATACATACCATTTCATAATATTAATACATAGTATTTCATAATATTCATTCATAGTATTTCATAATATTAATACGTAGTATTTCATAATATTAATACATACTATGTATTAATATTATAAAATACTATTTTATAATATTAATATGTAGTATTTTATACTTAATGTTTAAAGGACGGGAACAAAACACAAATCACTGTTTACAAAAAGGACTATGTAAACAAACTCGCATTTTAAGGGTTAAAACTTTAAAAGAATTAAAGAATATTTGGTAATTATTATCGGGGGTGAAGTTGGTCACCCAGTTAAAGAAGAAGATAATATTAATATTTAGTATTTTTAAGCAGTTTTAGGAACATTTTTG